TTTGTAGCTCAGGCTGGTCTCGAACGCACAACAATCCCCCTGCCTCAGCCTCCTGAGTGCTGGGATTACAGCATGCACCACCACGCCCGGCCATTATTTTTAGTATTATGCAACCAACATTTATATTCTCCTTTCCTTTCCTCCCTTCCTCCCCTCCTTTCTTTCTGCTGGGGACCGAACCTGGGACCTCAAGCATGTTGGTAAACGCTCTACCACCTAGCCACACCCCAGCCTCCTAGTGCCATTCTAAGTATTTTATAGACATTAATCCATTTCGAAGCTCATGTACAGGCTGAGTATCCCTTATCCACAATGCCTGGGACCACAAGTGCTTCAATTTGGTTCACAAACAAAAGCGTTCGGCAAAATTTTGTTTGCAAACTCTACATCGGGTGACAAACACGACCACGGCCATCCTTCCCAAAACCACGGCACAAATTAAGTTTGTGAACTGAGGTACCACTGTGGAGGCTTCGGCCAGTTGAAAATCCTCGATCTAAACATTCCTCGGGTGTTCAAAGAGTTTTGGATTTCAGAGCGTTTCCGATTTGAATTCCCAAATCAGAAATGCCCGGTCAGTACTATCACCATTTCTGTTCTACAGACTCTGGCACAGAGAATCTAAGTCATTTGCCTAAGGTCACACAAGTGACAAGCAGGAGAGCCGACTTCGTACCCGGCCCAGCAGCCTCTAATTACTGCGTGCAAAGCAATGACTTCCATGAACACAGGATCCACCGCTGCTATTTTCACCCTTCGGCCCACTCACACCGACCTCTTGCTTCCCGGAGGTGTGCGGCCTGTCTGCCCTCTACCTTCTCAGTTCACTTGTCTGCAGCCCCAGGAGGGTGACCGCGCTCTGCCGCCCACCCCCGGGGATGGCCACCTTGGCTATCCCTCTGGCTTTCCCCTGAACTCCGCTATGCCTCTCCTTGTCTTGCTTCGTGACGAACATGTGACTCCCAGCACCCCTCCTTCCTCCTGTGCCACCCCAGAAGCTCACAGCCTACCCCTCTCCTGACTTCCTGACTCTCGTTTTGTCACCAGCAACTTTCTCCCATCAGCCTTGCCGACACACACAGTGTCTCCAGTCTCCCTGGGTGCCCTCCTTTCCCACCGCCCCTTGCGGGTCTGCCTGCTTTTCCAATATCGCCATGGAGGCTGCCTACACATGCTTTTTTTTTTTGTTTTTTGGCATAGTGCTAGGAATTGAACGCAGGGCATTGCACAAGCTAGGCAAGGGCTCTACCACTAAACTATACTTCCGGTCCCACAATTTTTAGTGCAACCTGTGGATATGAGTCTTGCTGAGGAGGTGACGAGCACTGAAAAGTACAACTGAAGAGCTCATTTCCTGTGAATTTTTTTTTCTTTTTTTTTTTTTTTGGTATCGGGAATCAAACTCACGACCCTGTGCTTGCTAGCCAGGCACTGTGCCGCTGAGCTATATCCCCGGCCCTTCCTGCAGATTTAAAGTAGGTGACCTATGCATGTGAACTGTGGTTACAAATAGGGGGCTGGATTCACCGATGATTTTTTCAGTTTGTTTCTTATTTGTTTTCCAGTCCTAAGGACTGACCCCAAGGCTTTGCACTGAGTTCATCCTCAACCCTTCTTTTATTGTGTATTTTGAGCCTGGGGGTTGGGGGTGGGGAGTGGGGAGCGCATACCTGTAATCCCAGCACTCAGGAGGCTGAGGCAGGAGGATCGCTGTGAGTTTGAGGCCCGTCTAGGCTACAAAGTGAGCTCAAGGCCAGCCTGGACTACAGAGTGAGATCTTGTCTCAAACAAACAAATAAATAGACCAAAAAAAAAAAATCCTTTCAGCTATTTTATATTTTGAGGCAGGCTTTTATTAAGCTGCCCAGCCTGGATTTGAATTTGGGACCCTCATGTCTCAGCACCCCAGAGTGCTGAGATGACAAACATGTGCCACCACACCTGGCTTGTTTAGCTTTTGTGGCACTGGGCACTGAACTCAAGGAGTTCTGAGCTACATCTCCAGAGGTGGTTATTATTATTATTATTATTATTATTTATTATTTTAAAGTTTGAGACAGGGTTTCACCAAATTGCCCAGGGCAACCCTCCTGCCTCAGCACCCACACTCTGCCTCCCCCAGGTTTTGGTCCCCAGTGAGGCCCAAGACCCTGGATCCCCTTGCAGGTGTATTTGAAATGTCCTATGTGGGTGGAGGCCAGGGCCCAGAGAGAGCCTGGCACTTTCCGAAGGGGTTAGGGGCAGGCAGAGTGAAGGACCAGCCCCAGGTCCCTCTTGCTCTGGCCTGCGCGGTTCCCCCATGTCCACGCCCTCCCCGTGCGGGCGGAGTCCCAGCGTGGGGGCCCGGCCCCACTCACTCGTGAAGAGCGACAAAGCCGAGGAGTCGATGATGGCGAACGTGGCTCCGGGGTCGCTCCGCCGCCACTGCAGGAGGAGAGAGGGCGGCTGTGGGAGGCCGGAGGGGCGCGCTGGGCGCGCTGGGGCGGGGCGGCGGGGTGCTCACCGCGACCTCCACGTGGTCGGTGCCCTCGTCGTTCTGCTTGTGCAGCACCTCGAAGTAGTACCTGCGGGAGGCTGCCAGGCTGCGGGGAGGGCATGGAGGCGCTGTCACCTGCCCTGCCCCGTCCGCCTGCCCTGGAGCCCCAGGAACATGCCATGCAGCCCGAGGGCCGGAGTCCCCAGGCCGCCCTTACACCTCGCCCGGGCTCTTCCCGCCGGGTGCGCAGGGACAGGACAGGACTTATGGGGGATCGGGCACCCCAGGAAATAATAAGTACAGTCACCCTACAGAGCAGTTGCTACTTCCCACAAATGTCCAAGTACTTCATGTACACTGCCTGGTTATAAACGCGGACGCGGAGGCACAGACCTTTCCGATCATTTACCCAATCACCCAGGGTAAGTGGTGCCCGGGCCCTCTGGGCTCAGAGCCACATCCGGTGGGTGTGCAGCGCGCTCCGTGCAGAGCCACCGCGGTGCCGCCTGTGGCCACCAGGTGGCTCTCGGGAGTCAGAGACGGTCCCCTTTCCACCGCGTTAAGGTGGCTCCAGGTGGGAAAGGTCTTGCTGTCCCTTCCCTCGGAACCTTCTAGCAGCCCAGCAGGGCAGTGCTGTCCAGGCTGTTACAGGTGTGGGCGTTTCAGGGATGCTGATGGGAAGGGCCAGGACTAGGAGAGAGCTGACCTGTCTTCTAGGGTTATCACTAGATAGGTGTGTGAGCTTCACATTACCCCCCTCCCCGGCCTCAGTTTCCTCATCTGTAAAATGAGGAAGGATGGGCCCGATGCTTGCAAGTTACAGACTCCGTGTACCCAAAAAGTGGATTCGGGGCACCCTGCGCCCAGGAGACAGGAAGGCTGTCTGGTGCAGAGCGCCCC